GCCAGTTTCCCAGGGGATCTTGGCAGACACAGGCCTTCACTGCCAGAGGGTGGGTTATCTCTGCATCAGTAGCAGCGCAGTCTGGATCAGCCCTCGGAAGTTAAGTTGTTGCAGAGTGCTGCAGTAGTATTTGGTGAACTAGTTACATTTAATCTGCCTTTTGGAAAGTGTTAGAATCAGGTACTGCTGAACAAACATCCGTGAGGCTGGTGGTACTGAGAGGTGAAGGGGCCTAGGAGAGGTGCCCTGCCTTCCTCCCACCCAGACTGGGAAGAGGCCATGAACTTGAGGTCATAATTGTTATGAACTCCTGGGATCTTGAGGGAAAAAGGGAACCGCAGAGGAAGTTGCAGCCACATCAGGACCAATAGTTCTTGATGGGCTGAGCCTGCTGCCCTGGCTCGAAGCTTCCCCGAGGCTGGCACAGGTTCACTGGCACTTCCTGAAGGGAACAGCGACCTGTAAACAAGGTGGCAAATCATCGAAAGAGAAAGCCGGATGGTCTAGAAAGCGGTGCTAGTTGCCCGGGTGCTAGCTGGCGTCGTGAGAGTGGAAGTACCTGCTCAGGACCCTCCCCAACCCAGCCACAGTCCCAGACATTACGGACCCGCAGTTTCCCAATAGTTACCGCCTATCCAGACTGTCACCAGAAGTGGGGCCAGCGTGGCGTGTTTCTGCAGGACCTGGCCATGGGCACGGATGCTGAAGGCGAGAAGATCAAGGACCCCATGAGAGCCATCGTCCCCATTCTGCTGGACGCAAATGTCAGCACTTATGACAAAATCCGCATCATCCTCCTCTACATCTTTCTCAAGAATGGTAGGAGTGGTGGGCACGAGGAGGGCAGTTGGGGGGACCAAGCAGGCAGAAGAGTGGTGTCAAAGGAGTGGAAGGGTATTTGACAGGAAGATCCCAGGGGCTCTTTACGTTTGGGGAAATGTAATGCAGGCAAATCAGTTTCCACTGGAGGCTGTGCCCCAGTAGTTCTAGGGTTAACCCGTGGTCTGGGACTCACAGCCGAGGACCTAGGGCCAGTTGGGGGGCCCTTAAAGCAGGGAGCGTGTCTGACAGACACCTTGAACTTGCACCACACTTGTAGTCTGTGCCTTTAAATAACTGATTTTTACCCCATCATTGTTGCCCATATGTGTCCATTGTGCAAACAGATGGGCACAGAGACTCCTGTCCATGTTGACCTTGATGTGGGCCCATGGTGGCCGGGGTGGCTGAGGAGCAGGAGACGAGGGAAACATAGACCCTGAGGGGCAATTGCCAATGGCCGCAGCCCGGGATGGGTGGTTAGCGTGGAACAGGAGTCCTGATTTTGTCCTTGCCTTACGGTAAAGTCGCTGCAATGAGCAGGTTAATTTCCAGCAATGCTGAGGAGAAGGGGCACTGTTCCCCTCCCGCCAGGCGGTGGGCTGGGCCTCTGAGTGTGCACTGTGCAGTGGCGGGTGTGGTGACGGGTTTTGTTCTCTCAGGCATCACTGAGGAAAACCTGAACAAACTGATCCAGCACGCCCAGATCCCCCCGGAGGACAGCGAG